CTCCTCCCTCACATCTCTTCCCTTCTCTGAATCCATCCCATGTTGCTGACACTACGGGGATACATGCTTGGACACTTCAACTTGCATGTACAAATTTGTACCTCCTGCTTGCAAAGCCCTTACAACAAAGTCCTGTTGACTTGTAAAAAGCAACTTTGGGTCTGTTTGAATAGGGAGGGGCTGGAATCAGGGCCTGGTGCATATGCCTGGGCATATGCCTTTAGCTCTAGTCACTCCTTCCTTTCCCAGTGGGTAAGGACCAGGGCAGAGGAGAGCCAGAGTGGCTCAGAAGGTGCTCCATGGCTCAGCACCACTGTACCAACTGGGAGCTTGATAGAAATGCAGAACCTCAGGCCTCCACATAGGTGCTATCAATCAAAGCTTGTGATTTAACACGATCCTAAGTGAATCCAGTACACACTAAAGGCTCTATGTCTAATCCCCTCTTTTTATAAATGAAGACAGCGAGGAGAGCCAATACTTGGACAGAGGGGGCAAGGGCTGGTGCAGGGCCAAGCTGCCTGCGTGTAAGAATTGTATTTCCATACGTCCTTGCGGTTCACTAGTCTCACATGGTGGCAAATAGGTGCTAAGGCAAATTTGAGGGGGAAAAATATCTTCCAAATAATTCAGATTAACAGCAGTCTGGAAGAAAAGATCTATAGAGAGTGACCCAAGGAAGAGATTCATTAAGTCACTAGGAAGTAATTAAAATTAGTGATAACAAATTATTCCAGAGAAGGGATTAATGAAGTGTCGAGGATTTCTTTTTTTCATGTGGTCTCTGGGTCCAATGCAAATAAGCTGAAACACACTTCCATTCCCAAAGTGAGTCATCCTCTTACCTTTTGAAAGGCATTTTGGTTTGGCTTTCTCTTCTGTTTTTCTTACTATTCTTTGGTCCTCATCCCTTTATGATATATCCATTAAAATTTTTTTCAAAATTTTTTCCTGTTATTTGCTTTACTATAAAGCAGAGAGCAGTGAGCAAAACAAATAGAAGTATGGTGCAGTACCTACTTCAAGAGATTATGTTGTGGCAGAGTAGTGAGTCCTGTAGATTAAAAAGTAATTATGGAATTGGAGGTATAGCTCAGTGATACAGCTTATATTAAGCATCTACAAGGCCCTGGGTTCAAACTGCACCCTCTCCAAGCACCATCAAAAGTATGCAATTTTTTTCATGCATAAAGCAGAATGTATTTCCATTATATAAGTTCCTTCTTCCCAGTTGCAATTATCAATCTGTTGCCAGTCATGTTGTATTTTCACATATCCCATCTTCTCCTCTCTGCTTCTCTTCTTTTACCTCCTTCCTTTCTTCCCCTCTCTCTTCATCTCTCCCACCCCACTCCTCTAGTGTTTATTAAAGCAAATCTCAGACATCATATCATTTACTCATTTATTACTGAATTTCCTAAAGGCAAGGTCACAAGAGTAAGATGGCTGGCCAAATGATTTCTTGTGATTGTGTTCCTCACCAAAATAGGGAATTGTGTTACTTGAGATATTAAAAAACTGACATGGGTACAACCTCTACATAATACTTCAGATTTAGAGATTTTTATCTTCTAGCTCCATGAACTTCTCTGAGGACTTTAAACTCTTATTATGTAAGCAGTTTAATAAAATAGTAGAAACTTTTGATGTTTATAAACCTAAAAGGAGATGTATATATTCTTATTCTTGACAGTTAAAGTTTGAAGAAATTTTCTTCTACGACTAGAAACCAGACACATATTTCCCCTGCGCCGACACCTCTCCCCCCCCCACCCCCCCATCCCTCTCTCTCTCCTGCCCTGTTAGACTGGTTCTAAAGTCATCTGGATCCGGATCTTGATAGGGAAGCATGATCTCACAATTTGGAATATCAGCTAATTTGGAGGTTTGGTTATTTTCTATTCACAAAGATCATCCAACTAAATTGGGTAAAATGCCCTCCAAATAAGTCAAATAGACAGGGGGAAATTACTTATAGCTGGTCTTCTAAGGACCAGAACCCCGCTGTGGCATGGAGAATGTAATTAATGGGAGGTGAGTGCCAACAAATCACTCCTTAAAATATTAATGCTATCAAAGAACAGCTGGATAATGAGAGAAACCTGACCCGTGGGGGAATAGCTAAGGTAGCTATAGCTGCTGTACAGTACTGTGCAGTTGTGATGTAATGAAATTCCTCTAAATCATTAGGAGGTGTGGTTCTGGGAAAATTATTAGCAGTGAGCATGTCTTTGAATTCTGCCATCTTAGTATGATCATTGTATCTCACTTTTTTTAAAATACTGTTGTTCTAAAAGACTTTCCCCTTTATTGCTCAGGATGTATTCATAATCTAAACAATGTTTCTTTTTTTTTAAAGCCATCTAGACTGTGTGTGTGTGTGTGTGTGTGTGTGTGTACTGGGACTTGAACTCAGGATCATGGCAGGTTTTTTTAGGTTTTTCACTCAAGACTAGGGTTCTACCACTTCAGCCATAGTTACAATTCTGGCTTTTATTTGTCAATTGGAGACTTTCCTGTCCCAGCTGGCTTCAAACTGTGAGCCTAGATCTCAGCTTCTTAAATAGCTAGGATTATATGTATAAGCCACCCACCCACTTACCCAATTTCCTGGCTAACTTTTGTTCTTTAAAGTAGCCTTTAAGACTGGCAAGAAGATTTTGGTAAATAAAAACACAGTACCCAAAAAGTTTCTGCAAAATCAACAAAACAAAACTTCCATATGCTGGAGTTCTTGAAGTCAACTAAACTATGCCATTATTTGTTGGCCCAAACTTAATTTGCTTTTAGTTAAATAGCTGATTAGCTCACCGTTTTCCCAAGAAATATCTATTTTTAGGACAGCATTAAAAGTTAAATATTTACACAGTCCTGCTTCATGTGTGCCATGTTGGATTATTTGTTTTTACAGTCATAATTAAATGGCGATCTCAGTATTTAAGATTAGGAATCAGAAGTCATTCTTCACTTGGAAGGTAATTTAGATTTCTTTTTTTAAAAGAAATCGTTTTATTGTGTATTAACCAAAAGTTTTGTTTTGTTTTTTTCCTTTCTTTTCTGGAAGCAACTGTGACAATCAGGCAGCGGTGGGTGTAACGAATGGTCTCCACTGCGCACTTGTGTTGCTGGTGCCCTGTCTGCTTTGTTTCTTTTGTGTCGCTCAACTTGCCAACATCTAAATCAATGACACGGGTATTCAGCGTGTTTGACAAATCGGCAGAGATACGAGGAGCGCACACATACCGATCAGCGATGAGAGGAAGTGCAGGCTGCAGTAAAAATAAATTCTTGACTTTCGCTCTGGTTTCACATAACACCGGTTTCACAAGGCCCTCGCCCCTCAAAAGCAGCTGTGCCCCCCTGAAAATAGCGCACAGGGGACACATCATTGAAATGAATGTGTTTCTTTGCCCGCACAGAAGTTCAGATCTGCTCCATTATCATTAATTTTGTTCTTTTATTTCCTCTGCGCGGGGTGAGCGGAGGAGTCAGGCTCTTTGAGGTTTTCGCAAGCTGGCTCTGAGTGGCGGGAGGTGACCTGCAATTCTTCACCGAGTTTAGGGACGGGGGGGGGGGGGGGGGGACGACAGAGACCGAGCCCGCGTGTCGTATACTTGTGGAAACGTGGTGGAAAGTTCGGCGCGAATGTTGGCGATCTCC